GTAATTTTTGCTGTTTTTTGTGACTGTAAAGTATTTTGTCTCTGTTGTTGTGAACATGATATGAGCAGTATCAGCTGCTATCATTGTTTTTATGTTATCATTGTTCAATCTGTTTTTGTGCCAAGTGATTTTGTTCTGCTTTGTGACTGAAGTGAGCAGTGTAAATTTGAATATGTCCAGGAAGGCAAAGGCACCCAGGAAAATCATGTCTCTGGAGGTGAAGCTTGACATTGTGAAGCAGCATGGGACACACCAGAGGCTGTATGGGAGTCAGAGTGGTGTCTGTACTCCATCTTCAAGAGTCCCCTTAGCCTCGAAGGAGACATGTAATGACGGCCAGGTTTATTCTTTGAGATGTGGTGAGTGTTATTTAAATGTTTGTAGGTATAGTATTAGTGTATGAATTTTATTTTCAGTGATACACGTGGGTGTCCAACAAGGTAGGAACGTATCCAATTGATCCCCATGCTATAATGATCCCGATTTATGATATTTCGACCTGCGATGGTTTTTCAGGAACGTGACCCCATCGTAAATAGGGGGATACCTGTACAACATTATACAATTTCACCATAATTCCCATATTATTTAAGATGATTTGGTACCAGGTTAAGAAAACATTATCGTAAAGTGCAGTAAGTCCTCGCTTAACGTCGTGATTACGTTCCTGAAAACGCAACGTTATAAGAAACAACTCAATTTTCCACATAAGAAATAGATAAAATACGGGAATTACGTTCCTGAGCCTCCCTTTGCCCATGAAATACATTACATATACTGTACAGAAATTCAATGGCATTTTTTATAGAAAATAGTAGATACAGTAGGATCTCATGTTTCGCGACTAATTGGTACCGGCTTCAGCGTCGCGAAAGTTAAAATCGCGAAACGAGTGACATTGAAATACATATAAATAAGCCTAATCAGTTCTGCGGTGTCACCCAAACCCCCCCTATAATGACTTACAACCCACCAAGAAAATGACATTACAGTAATGTATTCATACCTATTATATTGTACATATTGTTGACAACAATATTTATGTACACTCATACTGTAGAATAACTTACCTTGATGGAATCAGTGAAATGTTTGACGGGGCTGGTTGATGGGTTCTGAAGCAGGGAGGGCTAGTTACTGCTTCCTCCTTGCTCCCTCCTCTAACCTCAGCATCAAATCCCTCAAAGTCTTGAGGCAGCTCTTCCACCAGTAAGTCACCCAACACTTCAATATCATCATTGGTGGTGTCATCATCCTAAAGTGATGTTTGCCAAGGCATTAACAGGCTGGGCCTTACACAGGTACCGAGTAATAAGGGCCTGCTGACGAGCATTAACACGGGACATGTACAAGGCCTTATATTCCTCCATACCCTTATCAAGGACAGGGAAGAAAAGGTTCTGAGGAAGAGGCCTGGTATCATATTCTTTTAGCTGTTCACTGAGACGTGAGATGTTTGTGAGCAACTCAGTCAGCTGGCGTGTTGTAGGTTCACCAGGATTAACGTCATCCTCTTGTGTTGGTTGCTGTTCTTCTTGTTCTTCATCCTCCTCCTCCAATATTTCTTGAATTGTCTGTTGCTGCTGATGTTGACCAATGATTTCTTGCAAATCTTCAACCTGAACATCTGAAAATCCCGGTGCTGGGACTGAGCGCGCTGGCTCCACTGTGTCCATTAGTGTTGCCGCCACAGACTGCCTCTCCCCACTTGCAACGATCTGTTCTGCCCCACTTATCTCGGATTTACCGAGCAAAGGCTTCCATGCGTGTAGCACTGTTGCAACATTAATCTTACGTCATGCCTCAACAATTCTGTCCACTGCATTTTTAATATTATATTTCTTCCCAAATTCACAAGCTGATAACACTTCACGGTTGTGGGGTGGTGAGGTGCTAGGAGTCAGGTCGTCTACCATCTCCTCCTCTTCCTCCTGGTTAGCTGGTAGAGACTGGTCACTGTCAGAGTTCTGCCTCAATTTGTTGAAACTCAACTAATGAGTCTGTCTGCTGACGAAAGTCTTATAGAGTGACTGATAGTAGAATAGTATAGCATTACTGATGAATTCGTGGTCAAGCGGCTGCAGAAGCGAAGTGGTGATAGGAGGAAGGAAGATAACTTGTACAAAAGGGTGGTGTCCAATTAGAAACTTAGTGTGTCCAGGAGCATTACCCATCACCAGGATCACTTTGAAGTCAATGTTCTTCCTCCGGCAGTACTGTTGGGCGTCAGGAACAAAGTGCTTGTCAAACCAATCGGTGCATAAATGTAACAGCACCATTTGCATTATATAAATATTCACTCAAATGTATAATACTTAAATGTATAATACCAAATTATTCGCTAAGTTATTCAACAATGACTTGGTAGTTATTCACTAAGTTATTCAACAATGACTCAGTAGTTATTCAAGATGCACTTGCTTGCTACAGGGAGATTTACAATGAAAAGAAAAAGCAAACTGTGCAGTCTAAATTGGACATATTTTTTAAGAAGTCCCCCATTGCTATTTCCTCATGCCCCACCACTGCTGCCTCTTCACTCCATAAAGATGATCCAATACCTTCAACAAGCAAGTATATTAGACTGTCTGAAGAAAGCGAGCTTGATGACCCATCCAGCCCTGTCTCCTCCTCTGCTTCATCCAATTAATGTAGTCTCCATGCTTAATTAAAAAATTATTGAGGTCCTGTGTGCATTCAGCTGACTACATTAAAGGTAAGTGCACAGTAACACTTTATTAATTTATCATTATTGAATACTTTTACTGTACTGTATTTCATTTTAGAATTTCTATGTATTACGTTCGCCTTTTTGACTTACGACCAAATCAACTTACGACCTGGTCGTCGAGACGGAACCCCGTCGTAAGTCAAGGAGAGAATGTATAGGTATACCTTAGTGCACTAAGTTGGTATAAGTTGCTATTCTTGGTTTTGACAATTAGCACCATTCCTTGAAACCTAACCCTCACAAATAGCAAGGGTTTACTGTGTTGAAATTTTTTGTGTTGGGTAAATAGTTTGGTCAAATATATTTAAACACTAATAGTCAAAAGTGCGTTGAACAAACCCACGTTGGGCGAGGGTTCACTGTAAAAGTGTACATAACAATCACCTCGGTAAAAACAGTTGTTGACAACCAGACTTAAGTCTAATTTTCAACCCAGGGAGTTCTGTTTCTTATTTATTCATTGTTGATGTAATAGTTTTAATAACCTTGTTAAACACTTAAATATTTAGTTGCTGAAGCACAATAATAACTGTTTTCGTCCCCCCCCCCAATAGATTCACATTTTAGGACTGGGGTCTGCCCCAATTAGTATAATGTAAGGTAGCTAGTTTCAGAAGTACATTCACACATTCTCCCTTCATTCCTCATCAGTTATATATCCTTACTGTCATAAGAAGATGCATTCCGCTCTTTAGCACTTCACATTCACAAGGTTACAAATAATTATCTGGTTTGCCTCTGGCAATTCACACTATTTATATTTAATCCAATTACAATGACATAATAATCAAGGTCATCTAAAACGAGTGGGACTGTGGGCAGATTCAATATGCAGTACAAGGGATTCTCCAGGAACATAACCCCTTAGAAATAAAGGGCTTCCTGTACATTGTCTGAATGTAAAGTAATGTATGCAGGAATAACATTGGAGGAATGGGGAAAAAAGTGAGGATCATTTAATATTTCTATCAATAATCATCTTCAATGTTTTATGGCCATCTTCCACACCTGCATGAGCAAGTTGTGATTACCTGATGGATGAAAACAAAACAGAAAATTACAACCCCCCCCCCCTCCAATCAATCACCAGATCGGTGATACGAGTGCCACTGGGAATACTGAAGCAAAATTTACAGCTGGATGACCTTCCTACCACTAACCTACAGGGTGGGAACGACTGGCAAGGCAGGGTCGCAACTCTTGGAGGTAATCTAAGACTACAGACAACCCTCGTTAAATCGGTCCCCTTTACAGGTAATCCGGATTTCGGATAAATCGGACGAAATCTGAACTAAGCAAGGGACTGTCCGTATCAAATTTTTGGTTCTGGGATTGTCCCAGTTGCAATTGGGGTTGCATTTTCAAATTCTGTGTCATTACTAAGGAATAACAAAGTATCTGGTGCACTGCACTCTAAGATTAAGAGAAAACGGAGGACTCAGGCGTCCTGGAGCGAGAAAAAACGGACTTCTATGACGGGGCACTCAAATAAACATACACATAGCTACATGTTTTGTGGACTACCCACTGTATAGTAACCCTTTTCATCACTTTGTAATAAACCTAGTCATGCCTATGTGTGTTTCTGATAATTTCCATAACATTATATCTTTAGTAAGTCTGAATGAGAGCGGTTGTACAAACACAAGCACTCACACTGACAGACTTGACAAGTTTTACCAACCATAAAGACAGCTGAAGCTTTAAACATCACTCACAATGGATCTTGCAAATTCCAACTGTAATCAGACATATCTAAGTTGCCTTAACAATTGCAACCCCAGTTGCTATATCAAATTCTGTGTCATTACTAAGGAATAACGAAGTCTCTGGTGCACTGCACTCCAAGATTAAGAGAAAACGGAGGACTCAGGCGTCCTGAAACGAGAGAAAACGGACTCCTATGACGGGGCACTCAAATAAACATACACATAGCTGCATGTTTTGTGGACTGCCCACTGTACAGTATCCTTTTCATCACTTTGTAATAAACCTAGTCATAATTACCATAACATTATATCTTTAGTGGGTCTGAATGAAAGCGGTTGTACAAACACAAGCACGTATCTAGGACATTAACCGGCGCATGACTGTATAATGCAATATTATGCAATATTAACCCCTAAATCGGTTAATTCGGACAATCGACTAAAACGGACACCCTTTCCCTCTATTAGTCCGTTTTAACGAGGGTCGACTGCACAATATTTTCTATAAATGAAATTATAGACTGATTGCCTCTAATTTGATAAAATTGTCTGGTACTAACTTCTCTTTTGGCTCCCTTTGCCTGGAGTGCTGCAAGTTGTCTCTGAATCTCACGGTTTGTTAAGATCCAACCTCGCTCCACATCCTGTACTGTCTGAGCATAGAGGAGATTCAATCCTACACGGTCACCCATGACATCAAGATCAATGCTTGGGTCCCAAAAACTGAAAGTAGAGTATTTTACAATTAAAACTATGAATATTAATTGGAAGAAAATGTGACACATTATATATAAAAAGAAGGGAGTTGGTTTAGACACAAAAATACTAAAAAGGTTATCAACCAATCAGAGTACCATCCTCATATCTGAAGGTTGGCAACCAGTCATCCACTCTTAAATGTTTTTGGGCTGTTTTTACCAAATCCTTTAAGGGTTTGTATATCTCTGGGAACCCAGTTTTTAATTTCATTCATCCATTCCAGTCTCTACTTTTCCCTGGTCTTCCTACCCTCTACTTTGCCCATTAATATTTCTGTTGTTCTCCCTAATTATATGACCAAAGTATCTTATTTTTATTTTTCTGTACATTTCAAGTACAGGGTGCTCCTCTACCTGAGAACGTTCAACTTACTCTTACAAACTTTCAGATACAAACATCATCACTGAAGGGGGTTACCTGCCAGAACAGGTGTCTAATGTGGATGAGACTGGATTATTTTGAAGAAAATTCCAGATAGAACAAACATTACCTAAGAGGAGAAGAGTGAGCCCAGTTTTAAGGCTGTATTAAAGGGTATAACTGTACTAAATATCCATAATCTTTTCATTTTTTACAATATGTTTTGTATCTACAAGAGTAAAGTTGGACTTACAAACAATTGGACTTACAAACAAGCCTCAGGAACGTAACTCGTTCGTAAGGGGAGGAGCACCTGTATTTCCCTTGAAGTTTTTGCTAATCTTAGTACAGTACTACTTCAATTGTTTTCCTGTCAGTGTAGCTTATTCTTAGCATCACATTTCAAAAGACTCCAACCTCTTTTTGGTGTCTGCCAAAAGTATCCACACTTCTGACCCATACATCACTCCTTGCCATTGACAGTAGACAATCATTTTACCATGCTTAAGCCCTAAGCATGGTTGCCCCCCCCCCCTTCCCCCAGGAGAAAAAAAATTATATAACGAGCTCGTAACACAAAAATAATAGTAAAAAGACATTTAAAAAGAAAAGAAAAAGTTTCATCTACACCACGAAGATGCCGGAAAACCAGCTTTTTGAAGCGAGACATTGTATGAGTATGGAAACACAGAAGAAGGCAAAACATTCCACAGTTTGGCTGTGTGAGGAAAGAAGGATGTACTATAACAGGTTATTCTAGTGTGACCGACATCCACAGAAAAACGGTGGGCAGCGCAGGCAAGGCGAGTGTTACGAGACCATGGCCGTGCTGGCGGTACACAGGATGCCCAAATCCACCGAACATTGCCCGATAAAGTACCTGTAAAAGAGTGAGAGTGAAGCAACATTGCAGTGAAGAGAAAGAGAAGAAAGATTATCAACCAAAGAAGGAGAATTAATAAGACGAATTGCCTTTGATTCTACCCTATCTAAAAGTTGGACAGAAGAAAAGCCACCCCAGCTATGAGAGCAGTACTCCAAGTTAGGATGAATGAATCCCTTATACTGTATACTTGAAGCAACTGCTCAGAAGTGAAGTAGCTACAGCATCTGTACAGCATTCCCAGATTTCAGGAGGCAGCTTTAGCAATGTTGAGGATGTGAGGCTTCCATGACCTATTAGAGGAAATGGTGAGGCCTAGCATATCTATTTTAGAATTTGGTAGAATGATTACATCCTGAAATGTGATTGGTGGGAGATCATTTAATTTGGAAAGTGTAATTGGTAAATACTGTGTGTTATTACTATTGAATTTAACCAAGTTTCTACCTCCCCATTCGGAGATGCTGCACAGATCCGCATTGATAGATGTAATAATATCAGCTCTAGAAACAGATCTAGTTTGAGAATTAGGGGGAAGGGGAAAATGTGAAGAAGGGTGAAGAGTAGGATCATCAGCGTAAGAATGGATAGAATTTATCGTGGTGTGAAGTAAACCATTGATAAAAAGAAGGAAGAGAGTAGGAGAAAGCAGAGAGCCCCATGGGACACCACTATTGGTAGAGAAAGAACAAGAGATCGATCCCTCGACAGCAACTGCCATGCATCAGATCTCAAGGAAGCTAGAAATTAGAGAACAAAGTGGGGGAGAGAGACCACAAGAGGGAAGTTTAGAAAGTAAAGACTTGTGCCATACCCTGTCAAATGCTTTGGAGATGTCGAGGGCCACGACGAAAGTTTCCCAATAATCCCTAAGACAGGATGACCAAAGATGGGTGCAGTAGGAGAGCAGATCACCAGTAGATCTCACCTGGCAAAAGTCATACTGGTGACCCAACAAAAGCGAATGGCATTCAAGGTGAAGGAGAAAATGAGAGTTCAATATAGTTTCGAAAATCTTAGAGTGGGATGAAGTAAGGGCAATGGGGTGATAGTTAGAGGGATTAGAGTGGTCACCCTTCTTCGGGATGGGCTGAACCAAAGCATCCTTCCAAGAAGAAGGAAAAGTTTAGGTTTTGAGGCAAAGGCAAAAGAGGCGGACAAGCACAGGGGCCAGAACTTCAGCACACTTCCTCGACAACACACCAGCAACCCTATGATTGGAGATTATAGGAAAATGCATAGGTTTGGTAGGAGGAGCAGCAGTAGGAGGGATAGAGTTGGAATCGTCTAAGGTGGAGCTAGAGGAGAATAAGGTGCCAAAGAGATTGGTATTATCAGGGGGAGAATTGGCTATAGAGTTATCAGGTCGAAGAGAGGAGGAAAAGAGGGAGAGCAGAAGTTATTATAGATGTTTTTGGTTAAGGACCAGAAGGATTTACTAGAAGAAGAGTTAGTCAGGGCAGAGGTCTTTATTTTTATAAAATTCTGCTTGGCCCTATGAAGAATAGCCTTACAATGATGAATAGAAATAATGAAAGAGGAGTGGGTAATAGGAGAAGGAGATAGTTTCATAGCTTGATATGCCCTATCTCTCTCCCTACATGCAAGAGAAAAGGAGAGATCAAACCATGATTGTAAAGTGAAAGTTTTGGTAGATGGGATAAATGCGCTCATACCACCCTGTATAACTCCAGCAATGCTGTCAGCACATACCGAGGCGTCCCGAGTGGAAAAGCAACATTCATCCCAAGGAAAGTCAGAAGAATTCTCGCAAGGATTGTCAGTTAGCCCTCCGATAGTGCCATAGTTGGCGTTTAGAAGGGGGCGGGGTAAGTGGTCGTGCCCAGTTTGATTTAACCCTTTGAGCCTCGCATGATGCCATTGTGGCGTCGAACATAAATGACGAAAAAACTTACGCTCAGCCTCGCAACGCCAATGTGGCGTCTAATGTGCTATAATCTCAAATAACTCAATTCAGTGAAATTGACTGAACTTTGGAAGCCATTTGACAGTCGTCGTTTTCTTTGTGTGGGCCTTTATCACCTTCCCCAAGACAGTCTTGGTCATTATGTGCATGGCAGCGCAGCATGAAGCCAGTGTCGCTGTGGCTATTAGAGCAAGAGGAGGGTGCACTACTTGGCCCTTTAATTATTCCATGATTTTTTGTTTTATATTACAGTATTTTTCCTTATACCACGATATTCTACATGCATTGTTCTTTATTTTGGTATATATTACATACCAATGAACAGTATAATACAAGGAAAATGTGAATGGAAATCGAGATGTTACTTAACATTTTCCAACTTTTTCAACTTATACTAAAAAAAAGGAATGGGGGGCTTAAATTTCAAGAATGTTCAATTTTTTATGGTTTCATAAAAATTTTCAGACAATTTTACGCTACAAGAGACCCCCATTACAACTAATAAAACAATTCCAGGGCAGTGAAATGAGCCGTTAAAAAATTAATATTTTTTCAAAGATTTTTTGGCAAAAACCTCCAAGGCCAAGCTTAAGTTTTCATGAACTTCTGTGTTTCAGGCTCCAAGGCTGAGAGGGTTAATAGAATAAGATTGTGATCAGAAGACCTTAAGGGGGCAGAAATTGAGTATGAATAGTGTGAGAGAGGTAAAACAAAGATCATGACTGTCAGTAAGTTGATCGTGTATATCAGGGACGCATGTAAGGCGTTTAATTATTTGTTCCAGATCATTAATTAAGGAAAAAGAGAGTGCCTCAGCTCCACCTGGGTCATCCCTTGCAGACCCAGGCCACTCTCTGTGATGTACAGTTAACCCTCACTTTACGCGGTTAATGTAACCCGGAGGGTACCGCGGAAAGCGAGAAACGCGTAAAGTGAATAACATAACATATGGGATTAATTGAAATGGAGTCCAGGCCTATCCCCAAACTCCACTTTTTGACGACACATAACTATGTTGTAGTAAAAATAACATCTTAATTTTATGATGGTACATGCACACAATTAATACTTAAGAGAAATACAGTCGCCAAGTTAATGTCCATTCAAATAATGGACACGACTCCCTCCCCCTCTTCTCACACTACACTGCTGGCTCTTCCCTCTGAGAAATTTTGGGGGGAAAACCAGGTATAGTAATAAATAATACCTCAAACTAAAGTTAGGATAATATAATTGACATTGCTGGATTCCTTGTAAGACCAGGAATATTTTGAATATAAATGTCATATATTTTTCACAAAAGATAACATATTTACTCAGATTAAACATTACATCTAAAATTTGTATGTCTAATGCAAAATCTATGATGTTTATATTCAAAATGATCACCAAATTGTAAGAATTCCAGCAATGTAAATTATATTCTGGCCGGGTAATTTGTATGAATTTTATGAGCTAAAACAAATATCTTCAGTTAATAAAAAAAAAAAATATTCTTCACGACACTATCTGTCAATCAAAGTACCCCACCTTGCCTCCCCCCCTCTTCCAACCGCGCGGTCAGTCCCAACCCTCCCTTCAAGAGAATGAGTGGGTGAAAAAATAAATTTTAACATTTTGTATTAAATAATACCTCAGATTAAAGTTAGGATAATATAATTGACATTGCTGGATTCCTTGTAAGACCAAGAATATTTTGAATATAAACGTCATATATTTTGCACAAAAGATAACATACTTACTCAGAGTGAACATTTTATCTAAAAATTTTATGTCTAATGCAAAATATATGTT